CCAACCCAATGCTGGTTCAAATCAATTGCAAAAACCGTAGGAATGCTTACAAGATATGGGAGAATAAAAGTACGGTTTTTTTATTTGATTTGGTCCAGCATTAGCTTTATTATGTTATGTTGCATACTCAGCCACATGGTTGACACTTATCTCTTGTCGCACATACCCTATTACACAGTCACCCCCCAACAGCCACCTCTCGGAAGAGTGTAACCGGCTCTCGAAAGCTGATTCGCAGTAAACACCTGCATGTCGGGACAGATAAAATGTTGCATTCTCTGTCCCCGCTACATCAGTTATCTTTTTGGACTTTTGGCAATTTCCTCACTTGTTTCATTATCACGTACCTGGAAATCCGGATATCCCCAAGTTATTGTTTCATTCATTCGCTCGAGACTCCTTTGCCCCTCTGTTCTTCTAGTACCGGTAGGAGATAAACTTTCTCCCCCTTGCCGTGGATGAAAATTTTCACCCACACAGGCCCGACATGGGAGGAAATAAGTCCTATTAAGAAGGGCCCGATCATGCAGCAAAACAAAACACACAACTTCCTCCGCTCCGGTCGGTCTGTTTTTTCATAGTCCGCATACGGGAAATGTCCAAATGCCCTCCACGACGATCCACTTTACCCCACCAAACTCGGCGAAGGCCTTGTAGTAATTTAGGCGGAACGAAAGCCAGCGGCTAATCATTTCCCATCATCCTGCTATGCCATGATGATGTGTTGTGGCTGGTGGATTGCCAAAATTATCTGTACTCCCGATATAGCATTTATCATACTCGCAAACCTATGTTATCAGGTTCTAACTTACAGTCTATCAAAGCAACGGGTGCGGAACGCGCTACCCCAGACCCCTAATACACAGTACTCGGGTAGTAGTGCTGGTCGGCAGTGGATTTGGATAAACCGTTAAGTTTGTCCCCAACAATGTTATGATATCATAACAAAATGTATCATATCCCCAACTTTAAGAGTGACGAAATAGGCTGCAGATCTACTTTACACACAGCTTTGCTGTGCTAGAGGGAACGCTGTATCGATATCTCAGACTTTGCAGTTCAAGCTCTTAATAAAAATCGAAAACCAAGGGAAATCTCCCTGCCGGTATGTAACCCAATATGTCATTTCTCTCAAAGCCGAAAACAGGATTCCATTTCCAAAACAAAATATCAAGTGTACAGACACACAAGGAAAACGACAAGTGTTGCAGTATCATGCCATGTATTTCCAAAGCGGCGGTGACTTGAAAAATTTGCAAAAGAATAAGGATCTGGAAACAGGGCATCATATCGTAGAAAGTTCCCGGATGCACTCGTACCAAATTCCCAGGGGGGTAGCTATTTCTCTCCAGTGGGTGCTCGCTACGCAGAAAAATATACCGGTATGTTGCTCGGAAAGCCTACCGATCAAACCGGGTTCGCAGCATTGAATCGATTATGCAGAGTACGCCAGAAATCAAGCATTAACTCCTCTAACTTTGCGTAAAACTATAGACCATGATACAAGAAATGAAACCAATCGCAACCATCCCCACAATAGACCTGCTATACAGACTTATACAGATGATGAAAAGAGGTGCTGCAACATAACCCACGGGGTCTACGCGCATAGCCCGTAGAACAAACACCACAACAGCGACCATCGCTGGTACGGCTCCCAGCAACAATTAGTTTATACCAAATCTATACGGTAAAATAGTTAAATAAAAAAGGCATCGGAGGATACGATAATACAATCTCCGAAAGGAAACTCTATACCGGTTGTGAAATATGATAAATGGAAAAGGGTGAAAGCCAGACAAGACACAAGCTTAATTCTGGATCAGAGAGCAATAGTAAAATAATACCAGAACAATAACTCTCCTGAACACCGGAATTGTGGAGGAAATCTCCCTCCCTGTCCAATTAGAGTTCTCAGAAGGAATTAACAAAACCAGAATCAAAATCTACGAGCTTCTAAACTTCAAGTTTGCTATGATAAAGCATCGTGCTTTTAGAGCAAGATTGTTAAAACAGTGTTCCTGATTGTCAAGTTCTGGGTCGATTTCTGCTGCCTGTAATGGTTGATGGAATTATAGTGTGTAATGAAGAAGACCCCGTCGGTGACGCAGTACTTGTTTCTACACTCTCATTTACAGTACGAGAACATTCGCAGTACCCTCAGATTAAACGCGGGCGGGACCCCCTGAATAATTGAATCTCAGCAAGCGGATGGTATACTCTTACTTCGTGATTCTCAATAGGTGTATAACGCGAGCGCCCAGGATAGTTCCCCCCTTCTTGAAGGCCGTGTGCAGATATACAGTACAGTACGTGTGACATATTGTAAAGATAACTTAACTACCGGTAGCATATCACTCCATATTACTTACTCTAAATCCCGCGAGAATACATTGAAGCGGGTGTGTACTCAGCCGCCCATATCCACACGCGGCAGTATTATACCCTCCACGTACCAATACAATTACCACGGTATGTCACCGAGGGGGCATTCCGGCCGGGTACGAGAAGTACGAGTACGAGTAAATTTGGGGATTGGTTTCCAGAGGCTTGGCGAGCAGATTCCTGTATCGTAAAGTCTCGGAATTGGGGAGTACCGGTATTCGATCGATACGATTCCCACCGCACGCACGCTATGGGCATGCTACAACAACCAACATTCAGAAGAATTAAAGTTGGTCCAGCCTGATCTGGTGCTATAAATGCCAGGAGTTCCTTTGCGGTATGCCGGCTATCTTAGGAATTAGACCCCCTTGTCGACAGGAGAGGATAAGTTTGGCTTGTGTGTTGTCGGTTGACATAATAAGCTTTGCCATATTCAACGGAAGGCCATTTTCCAAGCTGAGCTACCGTTAACAAGAAACGCAAGACCGAAGCCGCAATCCGGGTTGCTACTACAAGTATCATGCAAAAGAGGTCGCGGGGCGGAAAACCTTTCCGGTATTCACAGTACCCTCGGCGCTGTATTCCGTGGTTCAACTAGAGCGAACCAGACTCCCACAACGAGCAAAGATGCTGCTGGCAAGTGCCTCTCAACGACGGAACAAGCTGTTGGGAGAAAACAATTTCTCAACTCGAGTATCATACCTTATGCTTGTTGCGCTATCATCATGGAAACTTTGGGGGTGCGGAAACTCGAATTGTTGCTTCCTCAGCACACTGGATGTTAAAGCAGTCGCGGTTAAGGTGAAATCACTCGGCTGGAGGTCAAGCGATTAAGCGACCCTCGCACTCGGGTACCGGAAAGTACCGGTATTTGACTGACGCCCGGGCTGCTGAACCTTTGTTTGTTTTTTTCATCCACAAGAAAAAAAGGCACTAATCGCGGGTTCACTACGGTAGATCTGCCCCTATCAATAAACTATTAGACCGTAATTTAGGTGGCTATTGGCAACTACCGCAGTAATCGTGGTAGATATACCTACATATCCACTGCCAGCGGTACCACCCAATCCCCAGCAATTGTAAATCTCGAGAAGGATCACAAATACCGATAAAACTTTCATTCCTGTCCCTCCACGAGTCCACCTCCCTCCGGTATTCACTCATGTGACTATTTTATCGGCGGCCTTCATTGGCCCCCACCACTCGGTTAATAGATCCACGGAAAAATCACCCGATTTAATAAAGGAGGCCCAACCCATTAACACCGCCATTCTCGACCCTTTTCCGGGATAACTTTGCCTAACTTTGGTGCCTGCTGGGCCTTCGATGATCCCACGTATGTGCACTCATACCAAGATAGTGAAATCCTTGAAGCAAATCCGAGTTGTAAAGATTTCGGTCGGGATGTGACGCTGAGATGGTATCATACCTCGGACGCAGGATCAACCAAGCGTGGCGTTTCTGCCAATAGTGCAAGAATCACAAACTGATATGGGGGAGGCGCATTGCGGCTCAAAGTTCAGCCCTAACCACCGGAAGTTTCCAACAGATCAACTCAAAAGAAATACGGTAAATTATCATACGGAGTATTGTCCACCGTTGAACAGGAAAAAACAACATATCATAGCCGCTTGGAGAGCACTGCTCGAGTACTGTACCAGAGGTTGGCATTTCTCTACTCGCTTCCGGTGCGAGACAGTAAATTCAGAAAAATAAAGGAAATAGTATCCTGGCTGCTTTGCCGAGCCATTCGCCAGATTTCCTGATACTTTCACAAATCGGTCGTAGAAGGACCATCACACCCGCGGCTGCCGAGCGGCGAGCAAAGATTCGTGGATAATTTCGATGAATAATTTCGATGCATCCTGCACTGCAAGATACACTTGGCGCATCATGAGATCGTGTGATCCATCACTGCGTCTTTCAGACCACCGCATACATATCCACCCCAACCAGTTCCCCCTAAAACGCAACGGTTTTATCCGTCTTATGCCTCTTGCTTTTGGCTAAGCCCACTCGAGTCCCGGAAACTACAAGCTGGCGGTTAGTGCCAGTTCGAGGTAATACCGGTATGTTATGTGGTCAGTGCAATCTAAATATGCTCGATGTAAGGGAGGACGCAAATTAAATTAACTGTCGGTTGCCCCCTGACATCCAGGACAGTAAGCGATAATTTACAAAATGTGGCTTGAAGGGAAGCCCCTTTACCACGGTTGGTTGTCACGCTCTGACCATTTTAGCTTATTCATATCCCTACAATCAGCCACACCGGCAATGGAAAATCCGGAGTATTGTTTTTCCTTCCGAGTTGCTGTTGAGCATTGCCTGATTGGACGAGAGACTGCGGTGGGGGAGGAGGGAAGGGCAGAGGACAAGGAGAGGGAAAGGAGAGAGGGAGAGGGAGTTGTAAAATACGGCATCATAGGTTGAAGAGCGAGAGATCGGCTTCCCTGGATACACTTTCCCTAACAACAACCAACATCGCTTGTAAGCTTGAATTCCCTCGCGTCTCTCCCTTCCTTCCTCCCTCACCTACTTTCCCCATCTCTTCTATCCACACCAACTACAACATCCATCTCGCCCATTTCTCTTGATACCCTCCCTCCACTTTACCACTCACTTATTCACACAAAAGCAAAAATGTACGACTGCCGAACACAAGGCGGCCACTTCTTCGTCTCCCAACCCTCTCTCCTAGCCCGCCATTGCAACCATTGCTCGAAATCAATGTCGCACCCCTACCGCTGCATACTCGAGAAATGCGGCTACCTCGCTTGCGAATACTGCTCGACGAGCATAAACGCCAATCTAAACGAATTCCACAAGTCGCGAGAATTAGCGAAAGCCAACGGGTTACCACTTCCTTCACCACCCTCAAGAAATTCCCCGCCCCCTGCCACCTCCCTCACGAGGGGTGATGACGGTGACGCCGTCGTTGGCCGGCCACGACGGGGGACCGTGGAGAGCGTTATTGGCGCAATTGGCTCCACGAATTTGGGGGGTGCAGAGGCGAGTAGTGATGGAGGTGCCGCGCTGGGAGTCGGGATTATTGAGGTAGACGATAACGTTCGGGATGAGGACTACGAGCCCCCAAAACGACCCTTCACCAGAAGCGCCGCTATGGCTGCGGCGTTAGCTGCTACACGACATGGATTGGGTCGAGCCAGGACGCGGAATCCCAACTTTCGGCCGGGGACGGGGGAAGGTGAGGGTGGTTAGCGTGCTGTCTATTATTTTCCGGTTGACAGTTGATTGATCATTGAGAGGTGCAGGATCGGCGGAGAAAGGAAGCTAACGGGGATGAACGATTGGCACTACCGTACCGGTATGGATGTTTACTCAGCATATGGGGCATTTTCCTTTTTCTGTCTACCTATTTCATTTTTCTACTACTTCATTTCATTGCACACTTGCGAATGATTTTTTCCTCTTTTTTTCTCTTCTCCCTTTCTCTTTCCCGCTCCTTTTGAACAATGTACCTCGTGCAGATTGTCAAATCATATATACCAATTTTTAGTTTGCTCCTTCTTTCGTTAGTGGAATTAGTCCAGTGCCACACATTCAATTATTGTTCCGCATCTTTGTCTCGATCGCTCGGTTGTTAGACTTGCAAGAACGGGTGGACCGTCATATCATACTACTCGATTAGTTCTTCTGCGTCGGGCCGAGCTTTCGCTAAACTTGTTTAGTGCGGGATTAACTTTACCCACCTATGAACCTGGCCTGGGATCGACTTGTGGTATTGTGACGTTTTTCCGGGTCTATAATTATCCTTTGCTACTACGGTTTCTACCCCGCCGCCAGAGATCACAATTTATATGATAGGCAGATGAGAGAAATAACATTGAGGGGTGGAGAATTTAATAAAACTTGGCGCTGCGGTCCTGCTTGAGATGATCTTTTTCGGTGAATATTCCGGGTCGCTGAGGAGATAAGCTCCGATACCATAGAGAGTAGATAGGATAAGCTAAATGTGGCTCTTACCATGACTTTAATATGTGAGGATGGAAATAATGAATCCTAGCTATTGCACAGAGAATGAATTGCCGGAACCGAAGAACAGAAGCCCATCTAACGTGCGACTCGTGGAAGCGCAACCCATCAGGCTATTCTGTTATATCGGTCGTTCACCATTATACTTACCATACTCCTCTCACAGAAGAATCACCTATATCAACTAGAACCATACACTACACAAACACCTATGAATACAGTACCAGTACCAGTACACTCTTCGACTAATCCCCAACACACAAGTTCGAATTCATCCCGAACACTCGCTTTTCACTTTTCCATGGTCTCCCTGAAATCTCTCAATACCACCTTCTTTCCCTGACGGCTAAACTGCTACAACATAATAAATCACCAAAACGATATTGCCGAACCTCCATCTTACCGTTTGGGCTCTAAACAATGCACACCGTACCAGACCCATCCGCAGAGGATACACAAATAGAAAAGCGCGACCAGGGACTAGTTACTGTGACCCCAGATTGTGATCTGAGCTCTCATTCCCATACGACTATTAGGATCTCCCAAATCTTTCGGAATGCGTTCGGAGGAGAGCGAGCAAGGAAGGTTTCCGTTCGGCTATTACCTACTCACTTCGCGGAAGCGGCCTTAGCCGTGATTTTGACTGTGGGGAGGGGATGGGTGAAAGGGCAACAACGCCACATATTGGCAGAAAAAGTGCAAAATCTCAATTCTACTCAGGGGTGGGGCGCAATAACGCCCGGCTTTCCCAATCACATCAGTCCAGATTGCCGCTGCTAAAGCGCCAGTTCTGTGCACCGCTCTCCCCGTTTACCGTTGGGAGATGTCCGAACCCCGAAGGTTGACTACTAGTATATACCGCAGGTTGTATTTTGCTCTTGTTGTGCAAGCTCCCTCCCTCCTATTTACCTGCGCAAAGAAATAGGCCAATCATAATCGAGATCTTAACCAACCTCAACACCATAAAATCATCACCGGTTCCAGTGGCAAATTGCCTTTGCCCCCAGTTAGCGACCAACATCCCCCCCTGAAATGGCTTCCCAGATGGAGGATGACACTAGGGACTCCCCTACACCTAGAAACTTTAGCCCATGGTACATTGAATTCGTTCAAGGTATCAGAAGCATGGTACCCAAGATGTCTCTGCCGGACGAATCTGCCCTCAGAGCAAAAATAATTAACCCTGAAGAATCCGAAATTTTGGATGGAGAACTCACGAACGTCACCATCCATTGCCGGAAGTTCTGGCAATTATCGGAGGCTTACAACAGCAGATCGCCGAGCTCAATAACATAGTCTCAGACCTTGCAATGACTGTGAAAACACTTTCAAACAACGCTAAAGACTTATCCACCAATGTGGCTGCAGTGGCGGCAAAGACCCAGACACAAGCCCCCAGCGCACCGAGACAACCGACACGCTCGTACGCGGAAGCGGCAACAGCCCCGAAGGAGGCACAACCACCAAAGACACCAACCAATGGTAGAAAAAGATCAGCTACCCAAGTACCCACACCACCCAAGAATCCTCGACAGAAGCAACAGAAAGAGGTCAGAGTAACCGAAGACGCGGAAAAGACTCAAACCACCAAGATCAACATTACCACCGCCTCAGCCCCGAAAAACATTACGATAGCTAAGAGGCGTATCTACGCCACTCGAGCCACACCAGCACTCCTGGCTGACTCATCCAAGTTGGAACCGAGAATCAGCATTGCAATCACTAAGGAACTACAGAAGTGTGGATGCTCTGCGCCCACCAACCTACAAATCCAAATAAACGCAACAAATGGAACAGTCTCTCTGACAACCCCACCCGGCACGGAGGTGACCGAATATGTTAACTACCTTGCACCGATGACGGCAGCCCTTACATCCGCCCTCCCCGAGAATGCAAAAGATTACAAAGAGTTTCGAAGAGTACCAACAGACACCCAGGGGGTAATCCATGGTATATCCCTCGAAGCTACCTCCAATGAGGATGACACGCTATACACCGTGATGAAAGAATCGCTGTTCGTCGGCCAACAAGCAAACATAAGCTCAGCAAGATTCCTACAGAAGGATGCTAAAATCAGACAAACGAAACATTATATGTCTGTAGTCGTATCCCTACCAACGGAAGACGTCGAGAGAATAACCCCTACCGTACTGGTCCATGGACGTCACAAGACCTCCGCTGTCATGTGGCACTCCAATCTAACCAAACAATGCAAGAAATGCTACCTCTACGGCCATCCAGAAGAAGGCTGTAAAACACGAAGGTATACCTGTCCAATCTGTGCCGGTGAACACAGACTTAAGGAGCACAAATGCGCGTCGCCGACCTGCCCCAAGAAAGGGGACAGGAAGATAGTCGCAGACTGTTGCCCTGTTATACCGTCCAAGTGCATAGCTTGCGGCGGGAATCACCCAGCATATCACGCTGACTGATCTGTCAAAATCAGGGTCAAAGTAGATGCCAAGGCTCACTACGACCAAAGGAGACTTTCCCGAACTCCGGAGGATATAGATACCATGAATTAAATATGGCTGAACTAACTGGTTCAACCGCTCACGCTCTTTTACAAAATTTATCTATAGTACAGCATAATTGCAGGGGAAGTAATTTGGTGTTTATAACTTTATTTTCACTCATTAGGAATAGAAATATTTCTTTTATTTGTTTGCAAGACATTTCTTTATTTCAAGGGGAACCCCTCAGGGCCTCCGGTTATCAATGTTTTACTTCTAATATTTTTGGTTTCAAGAAGAGGGTAGTGATTTATGTTAACTTTTCTTTGGCTGAAACTTTTAATTATTTATGTAGGTCCCCCGCTGTGGATATACTTCATTTGTTAGTATCAAGGAACGATGGAGGTAACACATTGGGTGGACATCAAAAATTTTCTTTAATAAATACTTACAACAGACAAGTGGATGGCAACAATACGGTTCCCCCACATGAACTCTTTACAAATAACCCGAATCCGACACTCGTGGTGGACGACCTGAACGTGCACACTATGTACACGGACCCTGAGAGAGACATGTCAAGTACCGAGTGAAGAAAGGGAGAACACTATTTCCGAGTAGCGAACCTGCATGGATATGCCATACTGAACGAACTCGGACTCTACACTAGGATACCAGATAATGACAACACTAGACCTTCAGTTATCGATTACTCGCTTTCGAATCACCAGATGGCTGATTATGTCAAAACCTGGAAAACCAATGTCCCACACACTGGATCCGACCACAGCGCCATTATTACGACGATTACATCAGAAATGTTCACTCCAACGAAGCCGTCTCTCAACTAGAACAAGATTGTTTGGAGAACCAAAGGGAAAACCAACGCGGTAATTGAAAAGGAACTGGCAACTCTGATGGAGGGAGGCTCAATGGAAGGACAAAGAAACACGTTCAAATGGACAAAACAGGAGGAACCTGAAAAGGCAACCGAAGACCTCGAGCACAACCTTGCACTTTTAGTCCATACGATAAGAAAATTAGCACCAATAAGGAGACCATGCAAATGGTACAAACCTTGGTGGACACCAGACCTAACACAGCTATGGAAGGATTTCACCGTTGCGATCAGACAAGCATGACGGGATCCCAACATGGCCGAGACAGCAAGACAAAACAAAAAGAGGTACCAGAACGAAGTCAAAAAGGCCAAGGTAGCACACTGGAGAAACTTTTTGGAAAATGCTAAGAAAAATGATGTTTGGACAGCTCACCAATTCACTAAGAAAAAACTAGGTTCAACAGTCCCCGGTGGCCAAAGTTACCAGGTCGCAGCCGCCTTGAACTCAGCTATAATGCAACATTTCTTCCTGCAAAACCCCAACCCAGTGGATGCTCAGGCACCGCTCTTTCGGGAATTGGAGGAGAAAGACAGGATCGACACATCTGAAGTGGCCCAGGCCCTTTGGAAATGCAGCAATACCTCAGCACCCGGACCAGACCAGGTTCCTTATGGCGTTTGGAAAGGGATACACGGAATTAATCACCATGTCATCCCTGCACTAATCAACCATATGCTTGAATGGTCAATACATTCGTCGTCCCTAAAAGACTCATTAGGGATACTACTACCCAAACTGGCGAAGGAAGACTATAATGCTTTTGCAAGCTACAGAGTTATAGCCCTCATGCAGACATTCTCCAAAATCGCGGAACGGATCATCAATCAACGACTCATCAAGTTTACCAAAGTGAACAGGTTGTACTCAATAAGGCAGACAGGTAGCCTGCCCCAGAGAGCTACTTTTGACGCCGGATTATCACTTAAACACTGGGTCCGGGAGGCACAATTGGCGGGATACAAGGCCAGCAC